AAAAGTTTTGTTTCTCACACTATAGCAGAGGAACCATGACATCAAACAGGCATGGAAGAATCTCATACGTGACATGGCAATTGATGCTGTGGAGAAAGGAGAGGGAAAAGAATCAAGCGGAGGAGTAGGGTATTCTAATTAGCACTAGAGTCTCCCAGAAAGACTGTCATTCAAATGGAGCCCTGGAAAAGTGGGGAGACAAGCTCACTAAGAGTGTCTCCCAGGAAGGAGAAGCACACAGGAATATGTTTGATAGTATTGCAGTTCTGAAAAAGAGCAAGAGATAATGAGAGCAGTGGAGAGTGTTGGCTGGGGTCATGCAGGTGGGAGGAGCTAGCAGGCCGATGTGTCCACACTGAGTTTGTTCTGGGTGAAGGAGAAACTGAGAAAGGACTCCAGCAGACCAGTTGGGTCATCTGACATATTCTTGAGAAGGGTCACTGGTGACTGTCCTGAGATTAGTAAAAAGGCAGAAGGAGCCTCTGGGAGATTGTTAGAAGAGAGGTCACCATGGCAGGGACAAGATGGGTAGGAGAAGAAATGAAAGTGGTTGTGTTTGGAAATGTATTTTGAAGGATGAGTTAGAAGACTTGCTGTTGGACTGTGGGGTGAGAAAGAGAAGTTAAGGCTGTCTGTAAGCTTTGTGTCCCAGTAGCGAGACTAAATGAGTTTTGTTCTTTAATATCTGAGCTGTCTCTCCTTCTTTTCATAAGATCCCTTAGAGGCCATGTGTGGAAGGATTGATGTGCCTGGCAGTGCAGTGTCTGAAGATCAAGTGGGAGAGAGTAGTTAAGCTGGAAGCATGGTGTTTGTGGACAGTTGTAGTGTACATTATAGAGGTACATAGGTGGTGCCATGGTGGGACCTCAGCAGAGGAAGATGTTCCCATGGTCCAAACCTGCCAATGTTGAGAGTGATGGGAAAGGCAGAGGAACTGAAGATGAGATGCTCTCATAAATGCCTTGACTTTCTTGTATTCATCTCCAATGAAGACAGAGGCCATGTGGAATCATGATGGATTCTGTTTTCCTCAGCTCCTTGTCATACAGTAAACAACAAGGGAGACAATTACAGAAAACATAGATATGAGTCTATTACATGAATTGTGTATGATCAACGGTCATAGGGCCAGTCATTTTGTGCACCTTTCTTCACATCTGGACTAAATTTCTCTTAGTCATGTACCTCTGGTTCCCTGGGATGCATCTGTGGTTCCTGGAACAGGCTTCTAGCAAGAGTAGTTGTCTGTCCTTGACACGTGGCGGCAACACGCTGCACCTCCATCTGAATTCTAAGTTTAGTAATGTGCAAATGGACCTCTTCCCTGGTATGCTGTGGCTCTTCTTTGAAGTAAATGGAGGGAGACCAGTCACCAGAAATCAAGATTCTATTGTTGCATGAAAGAAAGGCATATCTTCAGGTGACCTCTTTCACTACAATGTGTTTATAGCCAGCAGCATGCCAGGTGACAAAGAGTGGGCTTGGGCTCTGTAGCAGCCTGTGGTCTGCTAAAGGAGGGACACTGGAAATGACCTAGTGAGTAGAACAAAGCCATGCTTCCAGTGCCCATGGGCCTCAGTGGTAGTTTCAGGACATCCCCTCCTTAAATTTGTAGAGTGTCGACTTTGGGGTGTGGAAAAGTTGGAAAACATTAAATGGAAATCAGTTAAATGGCAATGTTCAAAGTGCCATGTTTGATAAGTACTGGCAGCTCTGGGGGGTGAGGAAATATTTTTTAAGCGATCGAGAGTGTTGGAATCCCAGAAAAAAAAATGGAAATGTGATCAAGTATTTTTTAAGCGATCGAGAGTGTTGGAATCCCAGAAAAAAAAATGGAAAATGAAGTGCTAGGCTGCAGAAGGCCATTTTGAGAAGCTTTGATTAATTGTTATAGAAAGACTAAAGCTACTGACAATGCAGAAAATTTGGAAAAATATATATATTTGGAAAAATATATTTAGAGAGAGCCCTACTGGGAGTGTGAATTGATAGAGGAGGGAAATGGAATCTTGGAGCGTTGTTCTGTTTATAGGTTTTCTCCTGTTTTTGAGATGTTTTCAGCCCTCACCATTCACTGCCTCAATTTTCCTGGGTTTGAAATAGTAGTCTCCTCTTGAGGCTGTGATTCTGATGAAAAACCATGGTCTATGGACTTCTTTTCTATGATTCGAAGAAGCTGGTTTTTTCTCACTCTTGTGCCCACACTTTCTCTTTCATTTCCTTCTCTTTCCTCCACATATGTCCCATGTTATTTGTGACTATTGAATATATGTGTAAAGATACCTATTTTTTCTTCTTCTACTTCTTTTGTGCCCTCTGTTGTTTTCTGATATAGCACTCTTCTCCAGAGTAATTAATTGTAATTCTGCAAGCGAATGAAAAAAACGGGTAGCAGAAGGTGATGGACCTTAAACAATAAATATTTGTGTTTTATGCAGCTGCCACTAGTAATTAAGAGAAAATAACTAAGTAGAGTGGACCTGAACCCGCTCAATAGGATTGCTATTCATTCTTGGTGCATTCACTAGTAGGATCCAGCACGGAACATTTTGCTGAATGTCTATGGTACATTGCCACCTTGTGGCTGCAATTTTCCTAGTCATGGAAAAGAGCAACTAAATAGTATTAAATGTACATGAAAGAGCCCTATTTTGCAGTTTCCCTGGCCTTTCCATTTGACCTTAATTCAAAAGACTGGAGATATTGTATAAAATACATAGATTATAGAATAGATGAGTTTAAGGGATTATCTACGTTCTTAGAAGAGGCATGCTAAAGTATTATTGGGAAAGAACTGTGTCTCCAGCTGATACTGTGAGCAGGAGTAGGGAGTGCACATGTGTGTGTATAGTGGGGAAGGATGACATTTCTTCCCTGGTAGATAGACAGAGGATGTTCATTCACTCACTTAGTTCCATTCCATGCTTACATAGTCACAAGTTTTCTTCTGAAAATTTTGAATGCAAAATAATAATAATAACAATAATAGTAATAATAGTAAATTGGCAGTTTAAAAAAAGACACATGGCTAAGGACATACAGCGGTACCATGAGTAGGGCACCAATAACCTCTGTGTTGTTTGATGGAGTGACTGCAATCAGACTACAATCAGATGGGGTCCTGTATTTTTCTAGTCACTCATGAGTAACTGACCAGGCACTTCATTGTCTATGAGATTTAAGGGCAAAACATCTAAGGCTAGACAGGAATCTTTCCTTGGAGTCCCTGTAAGTAGACACACATCATGGGCAGCAGCCTGGGCTGACACCTTCGGATGACTAGAGCTCCTCCTTGGAAGGGCTGTTTCTCTGAGAAGTGCCATCTGGGGTCTGTTCCCCTCCTGATGTGGCTTTGATCCTGGAGTGGATGGACTGCTCATTCTTCAGGGATTCCCTCACGAAAATACCAGTTGGCAGTAAACTACAGTAAGGACCCAAGTGTCTGAAGGTTGGAGATGGGCTCTTACTAAGAAGTGTTTGATATCCATTGTGTGCTGCTAATGAACACAATCAAGGTTGGGAGAAAGTTCATGTCATATGGTGCTGAACCCACAGATGCTCAGTCTCAACTATCTAGAGAGGGGATACCCACCCGCAGGCACTGTTTTCTTCATGCAGTGATGTTGAATGGGCTGTAGCACATGGACAGACAGACAGATGACTTAGTCTTTGATGTGTTTCCTCCTATAAGAGCATCTATGATAGTCTTAAAAACAAGCTAGATAATTATACCTGAGCGCCCATCTTTTCCCATGAAAACAAAACAGACTTTGGTGAAATCTCCCTTAAAATGGCATTTAGCTGTTCTGTCCAAGTTTATCCGACTTTTAAAATTTTATGAGGTTGGCCTTTTGTGTGACAACTGGAATTTCTGTGAGTCTATAAATTTTGGGGGGGAGGGGCCTTAATAGTGATAAGGACACATGCATATGCACAGGAATATTTTTGTCCTTAGTAACTGTCTCAGAGCACACACGGGTGGGTATTCCACCTTGCAGTGAACATTTAGAAGGCACTGCTCTCTTCAAGTCTGGAAGGTGTGCTCATGAAAGTGGAGCAGAGCTTAACATGAGTGTTTTAACCCAGGGGATCCTTTCATAGAAAGCCATCTCTTGAAGTGGCTTTGGTTTCTCTGTTTCTTGTGACAGACTTTCTTTTAAAGAGCTATAGAGTCATATAAGGATGTATTGATTTCCATTAAGGACTGTGGTGCTTAGAAATTCCTCTCCTGTGTGTGTATGTGTGTGAGCAATATGTGAAATTTGATCTGTTTTTATATAGTGATTTTTCATATGGGGGGGTCAACAGAAGGACATATTTTTACATAGGGGTCCAGGATACACATACAAACATATAATTCAGTCATGAAATGATACCTTCCTATTTGCAGAGTCTGTGTGTGTGTGTGTGTGTGTGTGTGTGTGTAGGAGGTTGGGTGCACCTGTGTGTGCATGTGCATGCCAGCGTTCAACCACTCAGATATTATCCTTCAGGTACTGTTCACCTTTATGGAGAAGTCTTATCTCATTGCCTCAGAACTCAGAACTAGCTTGCCAGCAAGCCCAGGGACCAATATCACCAGGGCTGAGATTACGAGTATGTGCCATCATGCCAGGCTTTTTAAAATATGGATTCTGAGGAACAAACTTGGGTCTTCATGCTTTCATGGTAAATGCTTTGCTGACTGAGCCATCTTCCCAGCCCTTGCTAGAATTTGGTGATAACTATTTGGCTACATTACAAATTGTGGTCATAATCTACTAAACTTAATCTCATGACCTACTCATGTGTTGTGACCTGCCTTCAAAACCTGATACTGTGCTTTCACAATGAGCCTTACTGACTCTCAGAAGGAAGGCACAAGAATGAAATCTAGAACTTTCCAAAGTAGGAAAATTAAAAACAAGGTTGGGCGGACTGTGGCTAGAAAGAGGGTGCAAAGAAGAATCCGTTGTGTTGAGTGTCCCCAAGAAATAATGACACTGTCCTTCTTTCTCCAGCTCGACCACATACTGTCTCCACCACCCATGCCATTTCGGAAATGCAGCAACCCAGATGTAGCTTGTGGCCTTGGAAAGTCGCTAAAGTACAAGAGACAACTGAGTGGGGAAGGAAAGCAGCTGCGGCGAGGGAGCCTGGGAGGAGCCCTCACCGGTGAGTCGGGGTGGCATGGGTCAGAGGAGCAATTGTGCTTTGCTCACAGGATCCTGAATAGCCTTGGTGTTTCGTGTGTGAAAGCCTGCCTGTGGACCCTTTTGTAAAGTCCTACTTAGTCCAGAAAGCAGTTTAAATTAAGAAGTTGAGCAATAAACTTATATGGACTATAGTTTATATACAATGACATGGCCATATTTTGCATATATACAAATGCATTAAGCAAAATTTATATTTTGGTGTAACTACCAGCTTAATCAAAATAAAAAATATTTCTATCTCCAGTATAGGTGCAGCCTCTCTCTCTCTCTCTCTCTCTCTCTCTCTCTCTCTCTCTCTCTGTTACTTTGGATAGAGTTTTGTCTATCTTCTTGATCTTCTCAAAGTACCTTAGTATTACTGTAGATCTGCTGCCTGTGAGATTCTTCCTAAATGTTTTGTTCTGAATAGGCCACACAATCTGTGTGTTTGTGTCTTCATTCTGTTGCTCGACGTACAAGAAACCAACAAAATGTCCAAATCCAACCACTTTATACTACCACCACCAATAGGTGAGCAAAGTAATTGGTATGCCTCCTCATCAACCTGTGGTATGGCCAGTCTTTGTGAGTTTAGTCATTTTTGTGGTCCTGTGATATTGTGGGTTTCTTTTGTATTTTCTGTTAGCTTCCTGTTACTCTAACAGGAGCCTAATACCATTGAATTATTAGAAGAAAAGGTTTCTTTGGATTTCATTGCTTTGGGACTGTGCAAATCAACATGTCGTGACTGGAAGCACACAGTAGAAGACCGATCATCTTAGGATGGGGAACTAAAGAGAGAAATATAGGGGAGCTAGCTCCCACCAGCCACTTTTAAAAGCATAGCCCCAGTGACCTGAAGACCTCCTGCTGGACCCTAACTCTTCAAGCTTCATTATTTCCCAAAAGCACCATATTGGGTCCAGCCTTGGATTCTTCAACACTTTGATCTTTAGAAATCAAATATGACACAAGTTATAGCATGTAGGTAATGCAGATCATGTTCTGTTGGAAGCTTATATGTCATCATTTGTGAGATAGTTATCAGATCTTCCCCCATGTTCAACTACAGAGTTACAGTTAAATGTTTCAGTCAAGCACAGAGGCAAATACTACATGTTGCTTATGAATGAGCTATGAAAGCTGCTGTCTATGAGGAGAGAGTGAGTATAAGAGCCTGGGAAAGGGAGTTTGCAAAGAGAACATTTGGCAAGCTAGACAGAAAAAAATAGCTATTGTTCTGTAACACAGCTGGATAACTGATTGGCAGCAATTCCATTTTTAAAAGTTCCCTTTGTAAACTGCAGGTAGGGAGGGATCTAGAATGTTCTCAGCATGAATGCTATGTGCTGGAGGTGAGAAATTTGCTAGTTACTCTGATACAGTCATTCTGCATGTATTAAAAATGTTGCCAGGGCTGGAGTGTGGCTCAGTGATAGACACTAGCCTAAGTATTCATCGGCCTTAGGTTTGAACCCAGTACCACAAAAAGAAACAAGGAGAGAAAGAAAATGAAACAAAGAAAAGAATATTGTATAGTTGTGCATCCATTGAAATCAAATTTGTATAGTTGTGCATCCATTGAAAATAAAAATATATATTAACCAGGCATTGGTGGTGTACACCTTTAATCCCAGCACTTGGGAGGCAGAGGCAGGTGGATTTCTGTGAGTTCGAGGCCAGACTGGTCTACAGAGTGAGTTCCAGGACAGTCTCCAAAACAGTATCAATATATTTACTTATATTTAAATACTTTTATTTATATTTATAACTTTTATTCTAGCTTGAGAAAAAGCCAAATAAGGATACATTAAAGCACAACTTACAAAAGACTCACATTTAATCTTTCATGATGAACTCAACTTTAACACATTAGATTAGATTTTTTTCTGTTTCATCTTAGTGATTTTTCCTCTAAACATAAATATTTTGAAGGAACATCGTTAGTTTTAAGCCCTGAAGGAAGTTTTGACTACATATGACAGTCTTGCCTGCCAATTCATCAATGGGCTGGAAAATACTTTGAATTATGTTTTTTCTTTTAGAATTATGGGCTTTGACTTTCTGGAAGTGGAATTGCTGAGGAACAGAAATACTGCTGCCCACATGGTTAGTAGAGTTGGAGCAGTTGGCGCAGAGAGTCACACTGCTGGAATGGAGGGAACATGATCAGGCCCAGGGAAGAACAAGGGGGGAAAGGCTGCAGAGCTGGCTAGATGGCTTAGTCAGTAAAGTGCTGCTATGTGAGCATGAGACACTAGGCTTGAATTCCACTCGTGTGGAAGCAGAGTGTGGAAGCATTCATCCATATTCCCAGCACCGAGAGAGAAGAGCCAGATCAGTCCCAGCCCTTCTGCCCAACTTGTCTAGCAGAATTGGTGAACTACTTCAGGTTCAGTGAGAATCCTCATCTCAAAATAAGGTGGAGAGCAAGACAGAAGGCACTACTGTCAACTTCTGACCTCTTACATGTACATTGGTAACACACACATACACCACATGTGTACATGTATACACATTCATATGTGACACATGCATATCATACATACACACAAACATACAACTACACTATCTGTCTTTATGGTGGTGCATGAATGTCATAAAAGCTCTGGGAAGCAGAGGCAAGAAGGTTTTGAGTTCGAGGCCAGCCTGGGCTATGTATCAAGACCCTGTCTCAAATATATATATATATATATATATATATATATATTAGAGTTCTACTGATTCTTCCTGCTGCTTGCTAGCACTGTTCTTGCTTTCCACTCATAGATGCAGATTGCCTTTGTAAGTAGTCCAGTCTCAGTCTAACCTCGGTCTAACCCTTCACTGATAGGAAAGGAAAGGAAATCCTGATGGTTATGATCCACCCCGTTTATTCATTTTAATTAGAAAGTTTATTTTAATTGAACTGTTTTTGACAGCTGGGTAGTAATTATTCTCACTCTTTTTTCACAAGTAGTTTATTAAAAGCTTTGAAACGATTCAAAATCTTGCAGCGGTATGACTTAGAGCATGGAGTTTGGCCTTTAGCTTTATGAGAATGAATTCTTGCACCTGCTTCCCGTTTCTTACTCTCGGCAGCTTTATCAAGTCTATTCTCAGAAATTTTGGTTGCTGGACAACTATTGGGTCACTAAATCTTAGGTGAGATGATTTTTTTTAAGTTTAGTCACCCTTAGAAGAGCTTTAAACAACCATTGAACATAAGCCTGTTTTGGAAAATAGGTCCATGAAAGTTGGGATGTGTAGGGTGGGGGAGCATTTGTAAGTGGTTCTTTAGACAGCTTAGCTGAGGGTTTAGTAAAGAAACATGTGAAAAACCCTTGGCCTGGCAGTGGGCAGCTGTTAGCATTACCTTTGTAAGTAACTGAATTAGGGGGCTTTGGAGCTGGTGGAGAAGGTAAACTCAACTAAAGTCAGCTTGATTCAATTTTTGCTTTTTAATATCTGTTTGGTTTTGAGGCAGAGTCTCACAGTGTAGCCTGGGATGGCCTGGGACATACTGTATATCCCAATCTACCCTTGAGTTCAGGGACATTTTCTTGCCTCAACCTCCTGAGAGCTGGAACTATAGGACTTGTTATAGGATTGAGAGATTATAGGATTACATCTGTTTTTGTGTCCTGTCTGCTCAGGTAGAAGGTATCAGGGCTCAGGGAAAAGAGCATCATCTCTGATTCTCAAAAACAAAGTGTCTACTAATTTTAGGCAACAATAATCATGTGGCCCCACCTCGGACCATATCCTGTTGTTCATCATACAATAAGAAAGCTGGTTTTGCCACCAGAGCCCTGTTCCTGCTCTAGTATCTTACTTCAAACACCAACCACTTTCCCATTACTTGACTTTGCTTCAGCTCTAGGATTTTTGGTTTGGTAGTATTGTACTTACAGCAGTGAGTTGACAGGCGTGAGGTGGAGGCAGGATGACCAAGAGTCCAGGGTCCCCTAGGTGTATAGCAAGTTTGAGTCCAGCCTGTACTCTTTTTTTGTTTGTTTGTTTTTTGGTTTTTTGAGACAGGGTTTCTCTGTGGCTTCAAAGGCTGTCCTCTTATAGCTCTTGTAGACCAAGCTGGTCTCAAAATCACAGAGCTCCACCTGCCTCTGCCTCCCAAGTGCTGCCGGCAATGCCCTGCAGCCTAGACTCTTTCTAGCCAAAAACTAAAGTAAAGTATTTTATAAAGGCTTAGCTTGGGATTTGAAAATGTTACTGCCTAATTACAACTGAATAAAAATTCACCAAGCTTTTGGCTTTTCAAGAGGAAAATTTGTGACCCAGTCACTTATTTCTACATAATGATAGCTAATATTAAAATCTTGTAGGACAGGGCTACTTTCGGTGAATTACATTTATTGACTTACTAAACACATGAGACAGGGATGCATTCAGCCTGTTTTACAGATGGGGACACTGAGGCACAGGCATGTTACTTTTAAACAAGAACCAGGAATTATGTCCAGGCAGGCACATAGCCACTCTGAAGCTCTTTAACATAGCAGGTACCCAGCAGGTTTTAAATAAACTTTAAATTCCAGCAGGATTAATTAGACTGAATTTTAGATAGGGGAATCTTTGCTTACTTGGAATCTGGGACTGTGACTCAATCTGTAGGGCTCTCAGTCCTTTAATTAAAGTAAATTAAATCTAAGCAATTAATGCATATAAAAAACCTTTAAATTCATACATTTGTTAACCCAGCAATTCTATTTCTGGGAATTCATTACAAGCAAACAGTCATGAATATGTGTAGAAAATTAGCACTGCTGATGTTTGGAGCAGTACTATTTATAATAATTAAAATTACATGTCGTCTAAATATCTGCCAAGAGAATATTGATTAAACATATTATAGAATATATACAGAGTGGAAAACAATTGTAAACATTGAAGAAGATATAAAAAATAAATTTGAACACTGAAAGAAGTTCGTAATATTTAATGTGAAATCTGTTTCCAAATGTTCTCAAACTATTACATGCT